CATTAGGAAGGTTGATAACCACTGACTTAGTCAATTAAATAAATAAATAAATAAATAATAAATGAAGTATTTATACAACTCAACAAAAAGTAGGCAATCAATCCAATTAAAAAATGGGCAGACCTAACTGGTTTGGCTCAAGTAGATGGAGTGCTGGCCTGTGGACTGAAGGGTCCCGGATTTGATTCTGGTCAAGGGCACATGCCTGGGTTGCATGCTTAATCCCCAGTGGGGGGCTTGCAGGAGGCAGCCAATCAATTGTTCTCTCTCATCACTGATGTTTCTATCACTCTCTCCCTCTCCCTTCCTCTCTGGAATCAATAAAAATATCTTTAAAAAATATATATGGGCAGAAGACTTCAATAGACATTTCTCCAAAAACGACATACAGCCCTAACCAGTTTGGCTCAGTGGATAGAGCGTCAGCCTGCAGACTGAAGAATCCCAGGTTGGTTCCAGTCAAGGGCATGTACCTTGGTTGTGGGCACATCCCCAGTATGAGGTGTGCAGGAGGCAGCTGATTGATGTTTCTCTCTCATCGATGTTTCTAACTCTCTATCCTTTTCCCTTCCTCTCTGTAAAAAATCAATAAAATATATATTTTCAAAAAAAGAACATATAAATGGCCAAGAGACACATGAAAATATGCTCAAAGTCACTAATTATCAGAGAAATGCAAATTAAAACCACAATATCACCTCACACCTGTCAGAATGGCTATTATCAAAAAATCAACAAGTGCTGGCGAGGATGTGGAGTAAAGGGAACACTAGTTCACTGCTGTTGGGAATGCAGATTGGTGCAGCCACTATGGAAAATAGCACGGAGTTTCCTCAAAAAATTAAAAATGGAACTTCTGTTTGACCCAGAAATCCCACTTCTGGGAATATATCCTAAAAATCCCAAAATACCAATCAGAAAGAATATACACACCCCTATGTTCATAGCAGCATTATTTACAATAGCTGAGATTTGGAAACAGTTCAAGTGCCCATCAGTAGATGAATGGATTAAAAAAAACTGTGGGACATTTACACTATGGAATACTATGCAGCTGTAAAAATGAGGGACCTCTTATCCTTTAGGGCAGCATGGATAGATCTGGAAAATATTATATTAGGTGAAATAAGCCAATCTGAGAAAGATAAATATCACATGATCTCATTTACTTATGAAATCTAATGAACAAAATTAATTGACGAACAAAATAAGACCCGAAGCAGGGAGGCATGGACCAGACTGACATACCTCGATGTGGGGTTGGGGGGATGTGAAGAGATAAACCAAAGTACTTATATAGCCCATGGACACAGGCAATAGGGTAGTGAAGACCTGGGGTGGTGGGAACAGGCTGGGAGGAGAGAGGGAAGGGGGGACATGGGAGATATCTGTAATATTATCAACAATAAAAAATATATATATTAAATAAAAAGTTAAAGATTCAACTAAATGCTGCCAACAAGAAATGCACATAGAAGCATGGAACAGACTGATGAATCTCAGAGGGAAAGCAGGTAGGCAGCAGGGCGGGGAGGGGAGGAGGAGATTAACCAAAGAATTATATGCATATATGCATGACCCGTGGACACAGACAATAGTGTGGTAAAGGCCTGGGGGGAGTGGGCAGAGGAAACAGAGACAGAGGAAACGAGTGCAGGGAGGGGAAAAGGGGACATCTGTCATACTTTCAAATAATAATTATAATTTTTTTAAAAGAAATGCACTTTAACCATCAGAATACAAATAGGTTAAAAGTAAAAGGATAGAAAAAGATATACCATGTTAACACTAATGTAAAAAGCTGGAGTGGCTACATTAACTATCAAACAAAGTAGAGGTCCCAAGCAAAGAATATTACTGGGATAAAGGATACTGTTTCATAATGATTAAAGGGGCCAACCCACCATTAGGACATGTAATTAAAATATTTATGTACCTAATAGTAGGGCTTCAAAATAGATGAAGCAGAAACTGACAGATTTTGAACTGAAGACAGAATAAATTACATAAGATTGGCAAGTGATAAATTTTAGCAGGTTCATTATACTTTTGTGTACATTTGAAAATTTTAAAATGTTAAAAAAAGCTATGCTGCTATGTCAGAAATATGAATTTCAAATCCATTATTCCTTAACTTAACGAATATTGGGAAGCATCTATCACAATTTACTGCTCATATTCCTTGCTCCCAATCTATAGAAAACTGCCTTGTCCTTGCATTATTCGAAAACACTTTAGCTAGGAAATTTCAAAAAGAAAAAGATGCCTATGTCCTGAAACAAACAGAGGGAGATCAGGAAATAGAGAAAACATCTACTCACCCTGGACTTTGCTTTTGAATGCATGACAGCCATTTTTCCTTCTCTGGGCCCTACTCTCAGGAAAAGAAAATGGAATTATGAAATATGAGGCCTTTCTTAGGTCATATTCTAAATTAGACCATACCTTTGTCTGTCTCTCATCCCCCAATCTACCCTCATTTAACATGGAGAGCAGTCAAAACAGTCCTCCACTTTCTGTATCAGAAAGAAAATCACAGCTGTCTTGGGCTAGAATTCATTTCTGGATTCAAAGTTGTGCACTGGAAACAGACCCCTACAGGGGAGTGTTACAAGTTCTTAAGTGTGTGGCTTGCCTCATACAGCACACTCTCTGAAAGCCCCATTACATTTATGTGGCCTTTCTTTAAGGTATTACCAGCTCTAAAATTCTCATCCCAAGACCAGGTGTGTGGCTTAGAAATAATTCATTCACAGGCTCAAATTCTGACTTCTTGTCACTTCTTGCATCCAATACCCAAAGTGAGAAGGCACAGGAAAGCAGCAAGGAACCTACAACTGCAATCCCAGGGTGAAGTAAGGATACAGAATAAAGAAATCAATAGAGGCCATGTCTGAACAGGGGAAAGGGAGAGGGTCCTCACTGTGGCCAGAAGAGAAAGAAGTCCTCAGGGAAGGACAAAGCCAGGTGGGACTCATGACCCACAGGCCGACTCTACCCCAGAATGAACCCCAGAAATACCAAAAAACAATTTTACCTCTGTATCCCACTGAACTCTCATATGGGCACAGACCATAAAATATACAAATGATGACACAATGGGACACAATCCCATTTCCAGCCAGAGTCACCTTCACCACGTTAATACTATACTGTCAGATCACCTAGTCTTAAACAAAATCCTATCATACACAGAGTATACACACAACCTTATTCAAGCACATCCAAGCACCCTGTCAGGGACACACAATGGCCCAAAACACCCTTTCACAGCAGCAATTTTACTCTTTTCACAATCTCGAAGACAACACGGCCACACAAGTCAAAAAAACACAACCAAGTACCAGGTCGAGGAAAAAGCAGTCACAAACACTAAACCACAGCAACATTTGTAACACCTCAAAGTCACCGGAAAACCCCAGTAATACACATGATACGATCACATCCACAACCTCAAAGTGACACAAAAACATCTAAACATCCTTTCACAACAGCACTGTCGCGGACCTGTAACAACACCAATCATAGCCGTATTATCAAACCGTCAGAGTCATAAACAACTCACACAAACACTTAAACACAAAACCACCGTAGCACACGCCCATTCACTTAGACAAGTCACCAACACGTCATGCTTGTCTCACAATACAAATACACAAGAGACACGGCCACACAAGAAACTACACCGACGTTTCCTTCGAGCATCGCCGCCCACCTCGACAGAAGGCGCAGTTCAGGATCGCCCTCGGGGTCCAGTGCGACTTCGGCGTCGCGGGTCCCACCGGCGCTGGCCCAAGCTCCTCCACAGATACAGCTCTCCCCCAAAGCGAGCCCCCCAAGTCGCGCGAACAAACGGAAAGGAAGCCGCCTTAGGAAGCGGGGGCTCTGGGAAATGTAGTCCAACCACTGGAAGGCTGTGGCTGGCCGGCGAAGACGCTAAACGATACAGCCACCTAGCGGGGCTCTCGGATCCCGCTGCCAGGATCCGCAGGCGCCCAGGGCCGCAAGGCGCAGGCGTCGGGCGCCAGCGGCGGTGAGGGAGGCCGAGACTTGGGGTCGCATGCGACCAGAGGGTGGAACGGGCCGGCGTGTCCAGTGCCCGGGACGAGCTGGGGCGAGGCGGGGCGGGGCGGGGCGGCGACCAGCCAGAGCCTCCGATGAGCAAGAGACCCTTTTTGTGCCTCGCCTGGCCCTTAGATGTGTGAATGTGTGTCAAACAACGCGAGATGTTGTCAGGCACCCTGAGTCCCTCAGTGGCCGGGTTTATTTCTACCCTTGTGTGATTCTTCCTGCTGTTGGGTGTGGTGTGATCCGTACTTGAAGACACATGGTTTTGGCATATTTTTTATAACTGTGTGGGATTGCTTGATAGAGTAGGGACCTCTGCTATTGTGCCTTGTTTGTTTTGTGTCCATAATTCAGTGTGGTTGCGTGACTGACTGGATTTTTTTTTTTATGTAAAATGTACTTTTCTTGTACCTGTTTCAGTGTCTGTAGGAGTTCGACTAGAAAAAGAGCATTGTGTGACTGAAAAAACAATGGATGGTCAAGTTATTTATTACTTGAACACTAATTTGATGATCTGGAAAAAGTTATCAGTTTATTTGGCAAATAAATGATTTTTTTTTTCCTCAGAGCAAATACATGCATTATGGGGAAGACTACAAAATTAAAATTAACATCTTTTTTTAAAAGAAAGATTATTTCAAAGCCAGCCATAGAATAACTGTTTTTTCCTCTGCCACTGCCCCCAAAAATAGGCATCCATTATTTTTTACTATTAGGGGGACATTGTTGGATAAGATTGAGAGGCCATTGACTAATTAAATAATAATATAAGTTTATACATAAGAAGAGTGAATTTTAGCAGAGTCCAGCATTTGATTTCCTGAATTCCAGGTCAAACCCTTCTCCCATTCTCTCTCTCTCGCTCTCTCTCTCTCTCTCTTTCTCTCTCTCATCTAATAATAGACAAACATGGTAATTGACCGTACCTTTGCTATGCCTCCCATTGGCTAATCAGCGCAATATTCAAATTAACCGCCAACAAAGATGGCAGCTAATTTGCATACTGCAGGCAGGGTGGGACAGCCAGGCAGCCATCCAGGGCAGGCCCGGCCCGCCTTGCTGCCCCAGAAGCTGGCCTGCGACATTCTGAGCCAGGGCCTGAGGGTCTGAGCAGGATTGGGGCCATCCAGTCTTGCCATCTGGCACAGCATAGAGGATCTCCCCTGGAAATCTGGAGATTCCAGGCAGAGCACATGCAGTGTGAGAGCTCACTGCAGGAGCGAAGACTCCACCCATCAGATAGACAACCGGGCTACAGGGGGCCCAGCTCCCCTAACCATGGGTTTGCAACACACTCAACAAACAGCAACTGGCCTCGAGCAGAAGTGGGAAGGATACACGCCATCAGCCCTAGGCCTTGCTGTCCACCAGGACCAGTGAGTGTCCGGGCAGGGAAAGGAGGTGGCATAGGCGCCAGGAACTAGCAACAGGTGTGAAGAAGGGCAATTAGCTGAGTAAGCAGAGGAGTGACAGCCTCGATCTGATTGGAGAAGCCACCAAAATACATCATCTTTGGAACAACAGTTCTGAAAAGAAGCTATTTTCCATCCTGGATTTGAAGGAACTGGTGGAGAAGCAGGGAGCACGGTGACTGTCCGTGAGCGCGGAGGGGCGAGCTCGCAGCCGGAGGGCCCTGGCCAGAAGAGGCGCAGGAGCGGCGGAGCCTGAGCACTCCAGGGGGTCCGAGTCATAAAGGGAGCACCCCCGCGGCCTAGCACGCCACCGCCCTCCCCAATGTACTCGGCCGTCAAGAGGAAGAGCCTGGACCCGTCTGAGGAGCCCGTGGATGAGGTGCTACAGATTCCCCCATCCCTGCTGACATGTGGAGGCTGCCAGCAGAACATCAGGGATCGCTACTTTCTGAAGGCCATTGACCAGTACTGGCACGAGGACTGTCTCAGCTGTGACCTCTGCGGGTGCCGGCTAGGCGAGGTGGGGCGGCGCCTCTACTACAAGTTGGGCCACAAGCTCTGCCGGAGGGACTATTTCGGGCTTTTTGGCCAAGATGGTCTCTGCGCCTCCTGTGACAAGTGGATCCGTGCCTATGAGATGACGATGTGGGTGAAAGACAAGGTGTATCACCTGGAGTCTTTCAAATGTGCCGCCTGCCAGAAGCATTTCTGCATTGGCGACAGATACTTGCTCATCAACTCTGACATAGTGTGCGAGCAGGACATCTACGAGTGGATTAAGATCAATGGCATGATCTAGGCATCTCTGGGAGGTGCTCCACCAAAGTCACTGTCTCCAGGGGGTCTTCACTCTTAGGTACTTTGGGGATTCGAGGGTGGGATGAGGCATTTCTTAGTGGGTGGTAGACCCTAACTGGGCACAAGACACAACATCTAAGTGACATAATGCAAAAAATGATACCTAAATGTGACAAAATGACCGGCCTTTAGGGAGGATGTATGGACCGTAGCCACAACCTACCCATAATTACTGACATGATTAGTGAAGGCAAGGAGTGTGCGGGGAGGGGACAGCATTTGGGCCATTATAACGGAACTTTACATCTACAGATAGGGAGTTGTGGAAAGACGCGTTATGACTTTGACCCTTGGCAACTAGAAATGTGCAATTGATTTCTTTACTTCCTGGCTTCCATGACAACCCTGTTCCAATCACTGTCCTCCACACACAAGAAGGATAGGAGAGCAGCTACCCTTTTTCCCCCGGCCACTTTCCCAAGGCCTTAAGCTTTGGACCCAAGGGAAGTAGCAGAGAGACACATTTCAGTTGAAAATGGGAACTGCAACTCTTAACCACACACTTATTTAAAGCGACACTGATGAATCCCTGTTTTTAGATACCTTAGTTTTGAGGTGAGGAGTTCCACAGATTGTTTCTATACAAATGTAAATCTAAATTCTATCAAAGTATTTGTTGTGTGTAGTTAAATTAAAAAAAAAAAAAAACTAAAAAAGAAGCCGGCCTGCCTTGCCGCCCAGGACCCGATCCAGTCCCAGGCGGCAAGGCAACCCGGCCCCAGAAGCCCTAGAAGCCACCTGATATGGTAGTAGCTTTATCAGCATGCACTCTGAAAGTCAGTGGCATAAATGCACCAATTAAAAGACAGATTATGAGGGTGAATAAAAAATAAAGCCCACTTTAAATATAAAGACACATACAGATTAAAAGTAAATGAATTAAGCTGCAGCCTGTTTTGCTCAGTGGATAGAGCATTAGCCCGTGACTGAAGGGTCCCAGGTTCAATTCCAGTCAAGGGCATGGACCTCAGTTGCTGGCTTGATCCCCAGTCCCTATCAGAGCATGTGCAGGAGGCAACCAATCAATGTGTCTCTCCCTTTCCCTTCACTCTCTCTAAAATTCAATGGAAAAATATCCTTGGGTGAAGATTAACAAAAGCAAAGTAAATGGATTAAGTAACATTAAAGAGATTATAAGAAAAATATATTCCAAATTTTGTTAGTTGTATAATGGTTATGTTTAAATTATTAACACCTAAGAAATTGGGTGAAGGGTACATATAATATGCTGTAGTATTTTATAGTTTTTTTACACGTATGAGATTATTTCAAATTAAAATATTAAAAAATTAAAAATTAATAAAATTTTAATTGAAATGTATCTGCATTACATGAAAAATCTAATTGCTTCTATCATAATTTATTAAATTGTGCTAAAATTTACAAGAGTTCAATTAAAAAATATCTTAATTCTAAATGATATAATAGAAAATATGTAATAGTGCAGTTATAAGCACTTATCTGAAAATAAAAATTTAAAGAAGTGAATTTAAAGAAGGTATTAGCCAAAGAAAATATATGCACAACCCATGGACACAGACAACAGTATGGTGATGGCCAGAGAGAAGTGGGGGGCAAGACTTGGGTAGAGGAGGCAAAAGGGGGGAAATGGGGACATCCTATATAATAATAATAAAAGGCTAATATGCACATTGACTGAACGGCAGAATGACCGGTTGCTATGATGCAAACTGGCCACCAGGGGGCAGATGCTCAATGCAAGAGCTGCCCCCTGGTGGTAAGTGCACTTCCATATGGGGAGTGTCACTCAGCCAGAAGCTGGCTCATAGTTGGCCAGCGCAGTGGTGGTGGCAGGAGCCTCTCCCACCTCCTTGGCAGCACTAAGAATGTCCAACTAACGGTTTAGACCTGATCCCTTGGGGGCCTAAGCCTCTAGTAGGACATCCCCTGAGGGCTCCCTGGCTGCCAGAAGGATGTCTGACTGCAAGCTTAGGCCTAATGCCCCCGGGAGTGGGACCTAAGTAGACAGGTAAACATCCCCCAAGGGATCCTAGACTGTGAATGGGAGCAGGCCAGGCTGAGGGACCCCACCGAGTGCACAAATTTTTGTGCACTGGGCCTCTAGTGTGTGTGTGTGTGTGTGTGTGTGTGTGTGTGTGTGTCTACACACATACTAGAGGCCCGGTGCAATAAATTTGTGCACAGGTATGGTCCCTAGGCCTGGCTGGCAATCAGGGTGGATTGGGGCCTTCTGGTTGCCAGCTGGGCCCTTCCTTTGTTCTGTGCTGCACCCTGGTGGTCAGTGCACATCATAGCTAACGCTCAAACTCCCAGTCTCCTGGTAAAACTCCCAAGGGGACACTTTGCATCATATATATATATATATATATATATATATATATATATATATATACACACACACACACACACACACACACTAGAGTCCCAGTGCACAAACATTCATGCACTTGAGAGGGTCCCTCAGCCCGACGTGTGCCCTCTCGCAGTCTGGGACCCCTTGGAGAATGACCACCTGCTGGCTTTAGCCCGCTCCCCTGGAGATTGGGCCTAAAATGGAGTCAGACATCCCTCTGGCAGCCCAGGAGCCCTCAGGGGATGTCCACTTGCCAGGAGGGAGCAGGTCTAGCTGCAGTCGGACATCCTTAGCACTGCTGAGGAGGCAGGAGAGGCTCCAACCACCACCACTGTACTGGAAGCCATGAGCCTGGCTTGTGGCTGAGCAAAGCTCCCCCTGTTCCTACATTGAGCATCTGCCCCCTGGTGGTCAGTGTGTGTCACAGTGACCAGTCATTCCCAATTGTTCTGCTGTTAGGGTCAGTTTGCATATTACCCTTTTATTATATAGGATAGAGGTCTGGTGCATGGGTGGGGGCCAGCTGGTTTGCCCTGAAGGGTGTCCTGGATCAGGGTGGGTGTCCTACTGGGGTGCTTGGCCAGTCTGTGTGAGGGGCTGAGGGCTGTTTTCAGGCTGGCCACACCCACTTCAGGGTGGGGTTTCCCTCTGGGGTGTCTGGACAGCCTGGGTGAGGAGCAGATGGCTGTTTTCGAGCTGGCCATAGCCCCTTCAGGGGGGGGGGAGGTCACCCCTGGGGTACCTGGCCAGCCTGGGTGAGGGACTGATGGATGTTTGCAAACTGGCCAAGTCCTCCAGTGGGACCCTTAACCCATTCGGGTGCGGCCAGCCTGGGTGAGAGGCTGATGACTTCTTGCAGGCTGGCCACAGCCCCTTCAGGGTAGGGGTCCCCGCTGGGGTGCCTGGCCAGCCTGGGTGAGGAGCAGATGGCTATTTTCAGGCTGGCTTTAGCCCCTTCAGGGGGCAGTCACCCCTGGGGTACCTGGCCAGCCTGGGTGAGGGGCTGATGGTTGTTTGCAGGCTGGCCACAGCCCCTTCAGGGTAGGGGTCCCTACTGGGGTGCCTGGCCAGCCTGGGTGAGGGGCTCATGGCTAACAGTCCCAGCCACCCAAGCTCCCAGTGGAGGCTGGCTGGAAGCAGGTATCTCAGATTTATGTATCTTCTATAATTGAAACTTTGTTGCCTTGAGCAGAGGCTACAGCTGGCCAGGGCAGGCGGGAAGCGTGGCTTCCTCCATCACCGGGGCAACCAAGCCTCCTGCTTGCTCCAGCTCCATGGCTGTCGGCCGCCATCTTGGTTGCATTAATTTGCATATACTCGCTCTGATTTGTTGAAGACCATGTGTAAGCTGACAAGGTCCTTGCACCTGAAGGGGCTAGCAAGGCTGGGACCCTTACCCACACAGTTTTCCCAGACTGGTTTGATGGCAGTTATCAGTAGAATGAGAGCAACCTTTGTAGAATGAGAACAGCCTTTCATGGCTTACCAAGAAGTCTGTAACTATTTACTGAGATTTGCTGTACCGAGAATCTGTCCTTCTGCTCTGTCTCTCCCTTAGAGAGTAAGAGGAACAAAGAATACATTCTTCTTGACAGACCTCCTATTCAGTGTTTTGTGTATAAAAGGCATTGCGTGGTTAATAAACTTGCTGCAGTTCCTCGATTCACCTGTAATCCTCCCGATCCCGCTCTCCTGTCTTTCTTTCTTTTCTCAATTCCCACCTCCCTACCTCAGCCTGGTTCAACCTGTCAGGCTGGCCCTGAAAAATTGGCTCCTGAAACCAGGGTCCTGAGGACTTGGGAAGCAGACGGTGAGGAACTCCTCCAAATAAAGAGTGCACTCATTAAGGTAAGGGAGGAGCAATTTTTTGATAGTCGGGAGTAAAGCATGGGACAGTTAGAATCTAGGGAAAATGCCCTTTATGGGCAAATGTTAAAGTCTATGCTCAACAGTAAAGGAACTAAGGTTAATGACAAGCAAGTAGAAAATTTTTTAAAATTCATTCAGGAGGTCTGCCCTTGGTTTCCTGAGGAAGGAACCGTTAACTTAGAAACATGGCATAAAGTTGGAGAACAAATGCGCAATCATTATAAAGCCCTTGGGCCAAGTAAGACCCCGGTTGATGCATTTTCCTTATGGAATTTGATACGGGATTGTTTAGATCCCAGGCATGACCATAATCAACCATCTCTTAAGCCAGGATAAAAAGAGAAGCAGTGTGATGGCACAAAACAGGGGTCTAAAAAAGACAGTATATTAAAAAGGAATAATGTAAATTTTAAAGACAAATTAAATCCTCAAGATGAGAAGGATCTTGAGGAAGCTGCTGCCCTTTATCATGATGATGATACAGGTGTTGTCCAGGCAAAAGAGGAGGAAGAATATTTTTCTGCTGGAACTGAAGAGGGTAGTGATATGGAGAATGTGTTAGAACACTTTTTAGAAACATGAAAGCTTCTTGGCAAGAAAAAGAGAAGCCGCAGGGGCCGATCCCGGTGCTCTCTGCTGCCTTGTGCAGCACCAGTTCCACTTTCCCCTCTCCAGATGGCTTTGCAGGAGGCACGAAAGTGTGGTGAGGAATTGGGCATTCACGCCTTCCCCGTTATGGAACAGGTGAACCCTAACACGGGACAGCGTGAGCGTACTTATCACCCGCTGCCTTTTAAAACCTTGAAGGAGTTAAAAACAGCCTGTGCTCAGTATGGGCCTACTTCCCCTTATACTTTAACCATCTTGGAAACCATAGCCTCAGAGGCTCTCCCACCTAATGATTGGAGAGCTATTGCCAAGGCTTGTTTATCAGGAGGGGATTATCTCTTCTGGAAATCAGAATATGATGAAAAGGCTAAGGAACAAGCTGCCCAGATTAATATTTCTTATGAAATGCTTGTAGGAGAAGGAGCCTATGCTGATACCCATAATCAAATTCAATACCCCCAGGAAGCTGATGGGCAAATTAATGGAGCTGGAATCAGAGCCTGGAAAAAGTTACCCACCTCTGGTCAGAAAACAGAGGAGCTCTCAAAAATTATTCAAGGGCCAGATGAAAAGTATCAGGATTTTGTCTCTCGGCTATTACAGGCTGTTGGCCGAGTAGTGGTGGATGGAGAGGCTGGCATGTTAATAGTTAATCAGCTGGCATATGAAAATGCCAACACTGCTTGTCAAGCTGCATTGCAGCCCTATCAAAGAAAGGGGACTTTCTCAGATTATATCCGCATTTGCACAGATATTGGTCCCTCATATATGCAAGGAGTCGCC